CTTGCTGATTGTCGGCGCTTTGCGCCCCAGGTTTGCTTCACCTACCACTTTCGTATTTCAATTTTTGTATGCATTGGGGACAATTGCATGTATTTTTTTTTGGTGGTGGGTTAAATTAAAAGTGAGTGCTAGGGTGAAGTCTGAGTAGCCCAATTCACTATCCTCTTTTGGGGTTTTCTTGCCTGTGATCTTTTTCCCCAAGAGACTGATTATTTTTACTGTTGAACCGGCATGTCTATATCTTGTGTACATAGTTTAACTCTGAAGCATGATGGATAAAATGATATCCTAATGAAATGAAAATGATGCATGACTAGGCATAGTAATTGATAAATGTGTGGCTCTAAGAATGACATAGAGATACACCACTACATGACCCTAAGTCTAAAATTCAAACTAGGTGTCTGATAATCTGGTAGAGTTATGAGATGTCAAGTGAGTGTGAGGAAGATTTGAATAGTCCACTATTTGTACTGAGCTAGAACTTGCCTGGTTAGTCCTGCTAAAAGTAAGCTATAATAGACAATTAAAAAAGGATCATAGGCCCTTGTTCAATATAGCCCATTTTTAGCCTAAATAAAAAAAACAAATGAATTTAATCCTTCTTTGACCCAAATGATTTGAGCTTAAACTAGACCTTTCTTTTTCACCCCAATTGATCTTTTATGGGAATAATGTGTTGGCCCTGGTCCCTCCTTGGACATGTGCACCTTAGCTTATGCCAAAAGCATAAGTTGAGAGTGGCTAATGCCGTAAATACCCTCTTTATGGCCCAGCCCAACTTTGGGTATTGTGTACTTTGACTAATGGCAAAGCCTCTATTATCAGGAATGCTCTGGAAAGTGGAGTTGAAAGAACAAAGAGAGAGAAAGAGCAAAAGTAAAGTGACTCAAGAACCAGTTGAAAGAAAAGTGAAATTAAAAAAACATAAAAAAATAAAAAAATATAATAAATACAAGCAAGAAAATAGGAGAGTCACTTACACAAATGAAGAAAGAAGGGAAAATAGCAAGGTTAAAGGATATGAGAAACTGAGCGAAATAAAATTATAAAAAGTAGTATGTTCAGCCGATATGTCAAGGAGGGCAAAAAGTCACTAAAGTATACCTAAATATACCCTACCTGACCATGAGCCTATGTTACAAGCTAAAAAAGTCCTATAGTGATGTTAAAAGTTGTATAGAGAACTTAAAGTAGTGAAAATAAGGGCAAACTTATGGAAATATGTATGATTGAGTTGTGAATCTGTTCTGAGAGTCAGTGTTGAAAAGTAATCCTTATACTCAAACTAAAATCATTGTGTG